TGCTCAGTATGATGCTGAGCTTTATGAGCTGCATTTCAGTGCAGATTAAAGATTTCAGCAAGCTTTGTCCACTGCAGGAAGTGGGATCCTGTGGCTGGTGTAGGTTGCATGTGAGCCAGCCCAAGCCCCCCGCCACTGCCCCAAGCTGAGGGCTCTGCCCACCGGTCAGCAGGTTACCGATTTCAGGTGCCCTATCCTTGGCTTAGGGTGTGTGTATCTGTTGTACTCTCTCACTCTGCCATGCCTGTGAAGCTAAGCACTGTCCCTGCAGGAGCTGCATACGAATTTTCCAAGGCTGTTTTTTGGGAACGAACGTTACCTTACAGCTCTAATCTTACCTAATCTAGCCAAGCCTATTTGGAGTGAAAACTATTTATCCAAGGGAGTTTTGAAACTAACTTCTATCCCCAATGAAGGAACCTTAAGGTGTAGAGAGCCTTCCCTAGTCCTAAACAACCACATGTTTCATGTGGAGCTGCTGACATGAACCAGCCTGAATACAGCCTCTTCATGTTCTCTAAACCTTGATTAAAAGCAAAGCACAGCCCTAGACAGGAAGAGCCTGGAGGGCTTGGCCTGTGTTATCTGGTTGAGCTTTTCCCGCTGCCTTAACTCTCCTTTTTGGCAAGGGGGAGACCGGTGCTCCTTTGTGACACCTGAGCCAGAAATGGAACAGAGCTGCTGTGCTGCTTTTCTGAACCCCTCCTCTAAATACATCTCTCTTTAATACCCCCACAGATTGGTACACAGAATAGCTTGGAGCTTCTTGAAGACCCAAAGGCTGAGGTGGTTGATGAAATTGCCGCCAAACTTGGCCTGAGGAAGGTACTGAAGTATTCTCTTGGCCTTGAGGGGGGGCGCCCTGGCTCTGTGTTGGGGACATCTAGGTGGATGGTATGGCCAGGCCTGGTCTGGGACTGAACTCCCAACTGCACAAGGTCAGGTGCAGGCCTGGCATGTTTTGAAACCTCGCTTGTGTTTATTGGGTGCCCAAAAAAGGATCCCAGTGCAGGGACTGTTATATTTAAATCCGCCAGACATACTTCTTAAGGATTGCCTCAAAGTGGGGGAGGAAAGAAGCAGCAGGAGCAAGACCCCTACTTCCTGCCGGAGGGGACCTTGACGCCAGGCTCTTAAGGCACATCCTCCTAGGTGTGAGCTCTCCCTTCACGTGTCTGTTTGCGTTCATCGTTTTCTGTCCCCCACACTTGGAGTTTCTCGTGGTCCCTCTTCAATCCTCATTGAACCTCCTGTTTATAATTGAGGCATCTGAGCGTGTAAGCCTTCTTAGTTTTCCTGGGCAGTTAGAAGACAGAGAAGAATTTTCTTTTTGAGTCTGATGATCTAGTTTATCTCACATCTTTGGTTAAGTTCCTAGGAACTATAAAGATGGCGTTTTATAGATAATGTTGAACTGTGAATTTGAACACATCTTAGGAATTCACTCTTAATAGCTATGTAAGTTTTATCCTTTATTTCCTAATCAATTTAGACAATGAGAAATAAACTCCCTACAGATAAACAGGGAAGACTGGAAATGTGCCTTATAACCCAGGAATGCTGCGGAACAAAGTCACCGTATCGTTTTAAGAACAAAAAAGTCCTGTTGTTTCTAACAAGGAGTCAGCATCATGATTTAGGGGCATATTTTGGTTTAAATTCTGGAATTTTCTCTTGTTCAAAAGAGAAATCAGTGTCCCTGATTTTTTTTGCCTATGTTTGTTATAAATGTTTGGTCACGATAATCATAATTAGAAGATCTTGAAGTTACTTAAATGCCTTTCTCCAAACACTGGTTCCTTAGCCCTAATTTATCTCAGCTTGATTTTGGTTCTGCTTTATTTACTGCTGAGTTACATTTATCCTTTAAGTCTCATTTTCTCCATTGCCATCCTCCTCGGGGGTTTTGTTCATTTGGGCATTTTTAAAGAAAATGAAAGTCTCCAGATTTGCCTGGTCATGTCTGCAGGAGATGGAATGGAAGAGTTTCATGTCAGGGTTGTGCTAGAGAGGGTCACAAGCACCAGATCACTTCTCCGAAGGACAGAAGTGGGTGTGTGCCTGGATTCCAGCCCTGCTTTTAGACCTCCCAGCCAGGTTCTGGTTCAGGAATGGTAATCAGCTGTGAGGTTCGTGGGCACAGGAAGGCCAGGGATCACAGAGCACACAGACAGGCACTGTTGCTGTAGCAGGACGTGCCAGGGAGGCCGACCCTGCCCCAAGCCCTGGGACTGGCGTTTCAGATCCCTGTACCCTCAGATGTTTCCCTTAGCCCCACACCGGAGCTTAGAGGAGCAGCTGCGCAAAGTCTCTGTTCTATCATTCTTTTTTATTTTACATGCATTCTCTGGGGAGTATGTTCTCCTGTCTTACGGAGAAAGCCCTAGTATCTGAAGTGGCATTGTCTTTATTTGCTTGCTTGTTATCTGTCTTCCTCTCTGGAGTGTAAATTCCTTTTCACTGATGTTCTGTTAATTTTATGCACCCGGGGGTCCCCTGCACCTAGCATAGTGCAGGGCACAGAGGTGGTGCTGAGAAGACTTTTTCTAACGAATAAATGAGATGTGCTCGTTTGCCCTCATCTCCACCCGGCAGCACCAGGGGGAGGACGGCCAGTGTCAGCCGAGTAGAGTTTGAGAGCCCTGGTGTGGACAGTGGCTTAGCTGAGGAGCTGACTCACCTAGAAAGAAAGAACTGGCTTCCAGGAGTCTCCTCTCTTGGCAGAAGCTAGAAGACGTTCGTCACCTGTTTCAGGGAGAGACTCAGAAGGTATTTTTCTCTTTTATGCAGGTTGGCTGGATATTTACAGACCTTGTCTCGGAAGATACCCGAAAGGGTACAGTTCGATATAGTCGAAATAAGGTGAGATGGGGCAGGGATGCTCGCTCGGCCAGAGCTTGTTATGGACCAGCTCTGGGCTGCACTCTCCAGTGTCTCTGCACAGCTCACCCTGGCTTTTAGACCATGTTATTTTCAACACAGTGTCCTTGATAAATTAAGGCTGGGTCTGTTCATTCTGTCTCGGAGATCAGAGAGACTTTACCTTTATAAACCACTGCTTTTTGGAGGTCAGCCCATGAGGTGGATTGCCTGTGCTTCTAAGGCGTTACTGGTTACACGTGTTTTTCTGTAAGGAGTTGGTAACAGTCAGGAATTATAGGTACTTGCTTCACTGTAGTTTGTGATGTGTCATAATTTAGTTCTTAATATTTTCTAAAGAAGAAATAGAAGCATATTTTGACATGATGCTATAAAACTTGGTATGCTGGTTCTCTTTTCTTAGGACACCTATTTCCTGAGTTCAGAAGAATGTATCACTGCAGGAGACTTTCAAAATAAGCATCCCAACATATGTCGACTCTCTCCAGATGGACATTTTGGATCCAAGTTTGTTACTGCAGTGGCTACAGGTATAAATGGGAGCATTTATATTGTAAATATTACTACCTTGTTAATATGTTTTGTTCCTCTTTCAGTAGCTTTGCATTCTTAACTTAGTTACAATAGATTTTCTTTCTTTCCTTGTTTTTTTTTGGCTGCATCGCACGGCATGTGGGATCTTAGTTCCCTGACCAGGGATTGAACCCGTGCCTCCTGCAGTGGAAGTGTAGAGTCTTAACCACTGGACCACCAGGGAAGTCCCTACAATAGATTTTCTTAATGGGCCTGTGAGACATAAGATTCTTCTTTTTTGGTTTGCGGCAAAAATCTTGAACTACTCAGCATCACACAAAACTACTAGAATTGCGGCCTCAGTGTAGCCCTCCTCTAGTCCATTCTCTTGGCCTCAGTCCAAGTTCACTTGGTTCTGGATCTGAGTTCTGGGCTATCTTTGCCCCTTTGCAGTAACCAAGGATGACTCTGTCTAGCTGTGCAGGAGAAGAGGGATTTACTGTTTCTGTTACTTTTTTATTTTTGAGTGGGAGTATCATTTTAAGAAACCATTTCCATAAAGCTTTTTTTTGGGAGTGATGAGTGTGTGTGTGTGAGATGTGCACATCATACTACATGTTATGTACATCATGAATATGTAATAATAAAAGACTGTGGCCTGTAAAAAAGTGCCACCAAATCTTTTATAACATACTTGAGATGCTGTCCTAGAGAAAAGCCAGGCATAAGACCATATGATTTGAAAGAAGTAGGAATTTGAAACTTGGAGAACCAACTAATAAAAACAATCTCTTTGGTCAGTTTTTTAAAGTAAACACTAACCTCTATACTGTGAAGACTTGGGTTCTACCATCACAGAGATGATAATCCAGTTTGTTCATGGTAACCGTGCTTCCTCTAGTTCAAAATACCAGTTTACAAACAGCCCAAGCATGTAAGTAACTAGATCCCTTATTAATCCCAGCTGAGCCTGTTACCACTGCCATGGGAAGGAAAACATCTATCATACTGTCTGAATTTTTAAGATCCATTTGATTTGAGATCCATTTAGAGTGACCAGCACCTTCTTTTTGAAATGAATGTACTTTGGGAGCATGAGAGGCCATGGCTGCATTGTTCACATGTTAGCATAAATTAATGGGGTCAGATGCTTAAGGAAGTGGATGGGAGTTTGGACTGGGATTTGCGGAAGCAGTAATTCCATAGCATAGAGTCTTTCCACGGGGGCAGATGGGGCAGGGGGCCTGTTGTGATGAGAGCGCTCAGGGTAGCAGGAGCCAAGGAGGAGAGCAGAGAAGAGACACGTTTTACATAATCAGAATTTTGCCAAGCCAGCTTTCTGTTTGATGAAGGGGAGGAAAGTATTCTCTTTCTACTCTCTGCATCACATAAACCCCTGCCCCCTTCATTTAGGCTGAGATTCTGGGTCCAGGCATTTAGGCTGGTGGTTCTCAAGCCTATCAGACTGGACACCCTCTCTTTAGAACATTTGTGACACCTCTTTACTATCCAGAAAGTGAAATTCGTAGATAATATACCTGCCCACACACCTGATTCTAAAAAAGAAAGCAGAGTAGTAGGCTGACTGTAACATTGAGGAGGAAGAATAGTGAAGGAGCATGCATGTAATAAGACAGTGCATTCTGCGTGCCAGTGCTTGGGGACTGGTGCCTGCTGAGGAGAGCACAGGGGAGGAGCCGGAGCTGCCAACCTTGTGGGGCGGGGCCTGCACAGGCATCAGCGACGTGGTTCCCAGACACTCAGCAGCTCTCCACGGAGCTCTGAGCCAAGCAGGGCCCTTCCTCAGCTTATGTGGTATCACGCTTCTAGAGGATTCTCTGTGTGTTAAAGCTGGGCGTGTTTGTTTCTGTGGCTGTGTATAAAATACAATTGATTCTAATCCTAGATCATCACAAATAGGGGTTTTGCCTACAGGAGTGTTAGGGGGACATTTCAAGGCCATGTGGGATATGGAACAGTTCTTTATTGTGTGGGACTCCCTGGACACAGCAGGATGTCTGGTACCTTTGACTCTAGCCTGCTAAAACTGGCAGCCCCTGCCCCCCGCTGCCCCCCTTCGTTGAGACAACCAAAAATCATCTCCACAGATTTCCAGAACTGCTTCTTCTGAGAACTGCTGTTTTAGGCTTCCATGGGCTCCCATGGTAACCTAACCCCTTTAATTACTGTTTCTATGGGGAATTATTCAGTGGGCCCAAAGAACTGGTACATGTTTCGAATTATAAATAGTTTCCAACTTGGGGGCTGCCTGTACTTTCAGTTATTGACTCAGGTGGGAATTTGGAAATTATAGATTGACCTTGGAATTTTTGCCTCCGAAATTGGCACTTTACTAGGGTTTTCGAACTATAAGGCAGAAAATCACTTAACTTATAATAAGATCTGCAGTTAGAGTCCTTTCACATCTGTGCTGATTTGTCCCTCTTGGTAATGCTGTGAGATGCTCAGACTCATAATTCCTCTCCCTTTCCCAGGGGGCAGCGATGGAAGGTGGTTATCCAAAGTGTCAGAGATCTTCTGACTCCAGACAGATTGTTCTCTTCCTCCACATCAGTGGTTCTTGACCAGGGACGTGTTGGTACCCTGGGGAGCTGTTTGAAATGCCCTTGCCGAAGTCCCATCCTTAAGACCCTGATGGGACAGGAAGGAGCAGTCCTGTGTGTTTATGGCCGTCTCCCGGGAGACTGGCTGGTGTGTCCCGGGGTTCATGGTGCTTCCATGGTCAGGCTGCTGTCAGCTCCCCACAGCTGCTGCTGATGCTGCAGGCCCAGGTGCTGGCTGGGGTGTGGGGGCATTACCATTTGGCCTTGTGTCTGCGGATCCCTTCTAAGAACTTCTCTAGCTTGAAACCTTTAGGGGAAAAGAGTGATGATTACATGTGGGGTTTGCTCATGTGCACATGAAGGAGCTTGTGGAAGGAGAATCATCACAGAGCCCAAGTTTAAACTCCCTGCCACGATGCTGGTGTCTGTGTCTCGGTCACCTGGCACACTCGTACTCATTTCTCAGCTGTGCATGTTACTTTCTGGGCTGCGTCTCAGACTCAGTAGCAGCTGTCCTTTATCACCGCCCCTTTCCATCACACAGTGGACTTCCTGATGGACTGATTTGGGAAGGGAATGAGAGTTAACTGGCCTGGCCTGCTTCATCTCTGGGACGGTACCAGAGCAAGGTTCAGAGAACCCCTCAGGACCTGGTTTCTTGCTTTTCCACATGGAATGGGGAGCTTGTGGTTCCTGTCAGTGACTCTGCCTTTGGAGACTATCCATATGGACTGAGTTTGCTTTTTTTAAGAATCTTCTGTTTTATAAATACTGCTTTCCATTTTTCCCTGATTCTCACAGGCCACATCTATCTCAAAACCAGCACAGGTTTACAGTACACACACCAAGGGCGGCTCCTCCAGATTCCTTCCCGACCTCCTCTGCTCCTTGTGAACTGCACACTCGTTGTGCTATGACGTTCATTCCCCGGATTGCACCAGAGGGTCACATGCCCTGTGTTTGCTGCCTTGACCTTAGTTAGTGGTCACTGTCCAGGCCTGGCCACCTCCCCCGAGTGTGTGAGTTGAGGGCCAGAGAGAAGATGCTAGGCTTGACTGTCCACCTGGCCTTTGGAGCCCAGCGTGACGCAGCATTTGGAAGCCAGCTGCTGTTGGCCTCTGGTGTGCAGAGTCGAGCAGACACAGGCCCCTGTTTGTCCCTTGGAGGCTGGCTCTGCCCTGTCCTTCACATTTTTGATTGTTTGGCCATCAGATCTGCTTTCTGGTAAATGTTTGAAAGCCAGACAGATAAAATTTCTGTTCCCTGATCAGTAACTTATTCTGTTTTTGTCAAAGAAACTAAGAGATATTGAAGGTTTTTTAAAATTCTCCAAAGCCATAAAAATGATGGCTGTTAACAGTTGTCAGAGTGTGACCCTGATTCTGCAGGGGAGGAAGATGGCTGCATGCTCAGTACTGCCTGACCTCCTGACCTGTTTGGGATGGGTTTTACCCTTGTCCCAAGCTGTAAGCCCTACTGTGGGTTTCTTTGGAGCAGGGCCTGAGAGAGGTTAGAGTGGAAGGCGTGGAGGGCAGGGCTCGGTGCAGGGAGAGCAACCTCCTAGGCATTGTGGTGGGGTCCACGCCTCCTTGATGTGCCAGCTGCACAGGTGTCTGAGGTCAGGGCTGCTCTCCATGCTATGCAGATACTGACACTGTGCTGGGAAAGGTTTCTGTGTTCTCCCATCCACTCCCATTCGTCTCCCTGCATTCACTCAAGAACAGAATTTGCTGGAACACAGGGCTCTGTCTGTTGTTCACATCTCTGTGATACTAAAAACCAGAAGCCCAAGTATGCTTTTGGGTGGGTGTTCGAGAAGGTTTAACAGTCTTGCCTCCCGATTCTGAGAGAGCGTGTCGCTGGTGGGGCATGTTTGAGGAGCTGCAGTGGCATCTGTACACCCTGTGCTCAAGGCCTTGTGCCCAAGGCTGTCGTAAAATTGCTGTCAAACATTTTTGATTCTTACCCGAGACACACTCATGAGAGTTGGTTCTGCAGGTCCAAAGTAAAGGATGACACTTGTTTTGAACGTCCTTTGGAGGATTCTCGCTGAAGGTCTCTCTCTTGCAGGTGGCCCCGACAACCAGGTGCACTTTGAAGGGTACCAGGTGTCCAATCAGTGCATGGCGCTGGTCCGAGATGAGTGCCTGCTGCCCTGCAAGGACGCCCCTGAGCTCGGCTATGCCAAGGAGTCCAGCAGCGAGCAGTACGTGCCTGATGTGTTTTATAAGGTAAAAATGCAATGGTACCGAAAGAGAGAAGTGGATGGAGAGCAGCGTGGATGCTGACCTGTCCTGGACGTTGCTAATTTTGGTGCATTCTGGCCATGGGAGCTGTTGGTCAGCCGTGGTCGTCTAGAGCCTAGCTTGTGGATAAGGGACTCTTTGGCATTTCCAGGGCCTTTGTTAGCTACTCAGGCAGGCTTCTGTGGTGTTAGGGCTTATAAGCAGAAGTAGGGGTGACACACACTGGGTTTAGGGGTACATAATACAAGTGAAACCACTGCAACACCGACTGTTTCAGTTTCTGAAAAGGAGAAATGGTGCCTAACAGGGCCTCAGCAGGAGTGAATGTTGGAGCTGTTTGGCAGAAGTTAGGCTCTCCTGAGGGGACCCGAGTTTAGGTTAACCACTTAGATGAGCAGTTCTCCATTTCTAAACCTTTGTTTCCTGTGAAAGCTATAAAAATGATTTTTTTGAAAACTGTGATCTGGTTTGAACAAGTCGGAGTTGGGTGCTTCCCTGGGAATTAGCAACACGGCTCCCATCCTCCTCATGGGAGTTGCTCTGGTCACAGGCAGGCACCCTGCCTGTTCCCCGTCCTGGGCAGACTTTGGTTTCCATCTGGCACTGCTCTGTCTGGAGGACCCCTTTAATATTTCTTGTGTTCCCGGCTGCTTTTGTGTGTCTGAGAAGTACGTTGTTCTCCATTTCTGAAGGATATTTTCACTGTGTAAGGAGTTCTAGGTTGACAGGTCTGCTCACAATCTCACTGCACTTAGGCCACAAAGACCTGCTGGCAGAAGGGGCCTGGAAATAAAATAGGCAAGCAATGAAAACCCAGAAAGAGTGATGATCTAATTTCTTTAAAATGATTTGATATCTTTCAGCAATTTTTTTATATCAGTGTGTGCATGTCTAGTCATTGTTTTGTTGTTTTTATTGTTCTAGCAAGTCTGCATTTTTATTTATTTATTTTTTTAAATTTTATTTAGTTTTTAAAAATTCTTTCTTAAAAATATTTATTTATTTATTTATTTATTTGGCTGCACCAGGTCTTAGTTGCCGCACGTGGGATCTTCGTTGCCGCATGTGGGATTTTCGTTGCGGCATGTGGGATTTTTTAGTTGCAGCATGTGGGATCAAGTTCCCTGACCAGGGATCAAACCCAGGCCCCCTTCATTGGGAGCACGTAGTCTTAGCCACTGGACCAGGGAAGTCCCTAAGTCTGCATTTTTAAACAGCTTTATTGAGATGCAATTCACATACCACACAATTCACTCATTTAATGTGCCCGGCTCAGGAGCTCTTAGGATGTTCGCAGGGTTGTGTAGCCATCACCACAATCTAATTTTAGAACATTCTTGTCCCCCCAACAGAAGCCCTACATCCTTTAACAGTTACTCCCCAATCCTCCCAACTCCTGGCAACCGCTGATCTGCTTTCTCTGAGGTTTCCCTGATGGAATCCTACAGTGTGTGGTCTTTTGTGACTGACTTTTCACCACTAACCGTAATGTCTCAAGGTTCCTCCATGCCTGCAGCCTGCAGTACTTCATTCTTTTCATTGCCGAATAGCATTCAGTGGTATGGGCGCAGCTTACTACCTGCGGGATGCATCAGACACCCAGGAGAGCGCCTAGAAGCTGAGGGGCTCCGGGGCCTCGTCCTGGTGGTGATTTGGAGACCAGAGACTACCTGATTGTGACAAAGACTTCACCTCTTCAGGGATCAGAAGTGGGGCCGAGACCCCGTCTAGAGCTGGCTTGTCCATGCTGTGGGTGTCTGTGGCAGTGGGTGATGTGCAAAGGAAGGGCACAAGGGCCTGAGAGTCTTGTCCCTGCTCCTGGTCTCCTCCTCAGCTCTTTGGAATGAAGGTCTTCAATCTGCTTCTGAATCAGCGCTGCTGCGTGGTCCGAGGGCTGCGGGGCGGGGACTGTCACTGAGCCAGGAAGCCCAGGCCAGTAGGTAGCGAGCAGTCTGTCTTTCCTCTGCAGCAGGCAGGCCTCGCTGTTGTATCTGCTCTTTTCAGGTGGTGGCAGTGGAGGGACAGAGTGAGGCTGGACTGTGACAACTTGCTTAGATGACCCCTCAGATTTGGGGACAGTAAGGAGCCCCAGGAAAGGGTTCTCCATATCATTCTTGAAAGAAAATATTTCCAAAGAGCCTTGTTTAGGAACTCCCATTGTCTCTTCCCTCCTGTGGTGTTTAATAGCAATTACCTGGCTTGATAACACAGATCTCACCCTTACACAAATCCTGTGTAGGCATCAGGTACTTTGAAGAATCATTAGTTTTAAACCATTATTAAACATTCACACATCAAGAATCACACCACGCTGGGAACCAATGTGAGGGTTCAGTCTTTCCCTCAAAAGTTTCTATCTTATAAGATGCATTCGTATGGCACTGTTTTGTAATGTAGAATCTGTTTTGACTCATTTTTAGACCCTGAGACCTGGTGGTCCTGCTGGCTGCTGTCCTGAGCCTTTTGGCACAGCTCACTGGTCTGGGGGCCGTAACGGGGCCTGTTGTCCTTGTGGAGAGCCCCTCCCCTTTAGCCACAGAGGCTTATGCAGCCCCGGTGCGCTCAGTGTGCATGAATACATTGCTCCAGGGTCATCAGGCTGTCATTTCTTTCTCTTTTCAGAGTTTTAAAAATTAAATATAGGGACTTCCCTGGTGGCACAGTGGTTAAGAATCCGCCTGCCAATGCAGGGGACCAGGGTTTGAGCCCTGGTCCAGGAAGATCCCACATGCCACGGAGCAACTAAGCCCATGCGCCACAACTACTGAGCCTGCGCTCTAGAGCCTACGAGCCACAACTACTGAGCCCGCGTGCCACAACTACTGAAGCCTGCGTGCCTAGAGTCCATGCTCCGCAATAAGAGAAGCCACTGCAGTGAGAAGCCTGCACACCACAACAAAGAGTAGCCACTGCTCACCGCAACTAGAGAAAGCCCGCACACAGCAACGAAGACCCAACACAGCCAAAAATAAATTAATTTAAAAAAATTAAATATTGAATAGATATGAAAGATTATTTATAAAACATGTTTAAGGAATAAAAAAAGCAGGAATACCAATCCCGAGTCTCTACCCCAGAGTTAAGGACCAGAACGTTCCTGTGGCCTCTGAAGCTGCTGGATCCTTCTCTCTGCTTCTGTCTCCTTTTCTCCCCCCTCCAGAGGGAGCACTACCTTCGGGGGTACACTATGACATTCTTGCTTTTCTTCTAGTTTTACCTCCTTTGTGTGTTTTCCTAAAGCAGGTGTTGTGAGTTTTATATGTTGCTGCACACTGTAGACCCAAAACTGTGTTCTTTTGTCTTTGGAGATGGGCCACATTCACTTATCCCGGTGTGGCCTGAGACCTGCCTGCGTGTGGCCATCATGTCACCTCGGCATGTGCCCAGTGCGAGCAGAATGCTGTGCGAATCACCACGCTCCGCAGCCTTGGGCCCGAGTCCTGCTCCCCACTCAGACACCCATGGGGCATGTCCTTGAGCTGTAACTGTGCCGTCCTGATCATAAGTGAGGCCAGGCTCCTTTTTCTTTGTTTGTTGGCTCGTCCTGTCTCCCGTAACGTGCTTGTTGTGTCTGTTTCCTCTTCTTCCCTGGGTGGTTCAATCTTTTTCTCCCTGCCTCTAACCCTGTCAGTCAGGGGTGTGACACCTCTGCCTCTCCACTCCCATGGTGTCATTGAGGCAGAAAGTTTACGTTTCCATGTGGTCAGTTTTCTGAATCTTGTCTTTATGGTTGGCATTTTGAATCACAAAGAAAGTCTGTTATCTTGTCTTCTCTAAGGTTGATGTTTTTGGATTCTTCTTCTACCTGGAATTATTTCAGATGTGTGGTGTGAGATAGGGGCCCAGTTTCCTTCTTAGTTTTTTTTAGTCATATACCGACTGAACACCATTTATTGGGAAAAACCCTCTTCTTTCTCTGTTGATCTGTGGTGCCTTTCCATTACCAGTCGTCTCTGTGATCGTGGCTGTGTCTCTGTCCTCCCTTCTGTCCACTGGCCGGTGTTCCTCAGTCAGCACCAACGTCGCACTGTCTGAGTCACTGTAACTTTACTCTTCGTCCCTGATCCATCACAGCCCTTCCCTGCTTTTCTTCCCGAGCTCTGACTGTTCCTGACCCTCCACTCCTTCATGGAGACTTGCCTGCAGGTTGCACAAAACAAATAGGTCAGGCCCACCCCACCCCACTCCCCCGCAATGTGTGTGATGCTGCCCTTTGTTTCTTGTTCTTTGACCTCTCTCAGAAAGTTAGGATTTTTCTCCTTGAAAGTCTTGTCCGTCATTTGTTAGATTGTTCCTAGGTACTTTATAGTTTCTACATATTATAAAAACTACCATTTGGCAGTTCAGCTGTTACTTGTTCCTCTAATTTGTATGTGTGTTCTGGGTTCTCTACACAGATGAGTGTATTATCCAGGAGTGACAGTTCTTTTTCTCCCTTCCCTTCATTTTCACTCCTCGTGCTGGCTAGGGCTTCTGGAACAATGTCTAGTGATCAGCACTTTTGTCTGGTTTTTAATTATAAAGGATGTGCTTTCGGGATTTCATCATTAACTATGAGTTTGCTGTGGGTTTTTTTGTTCTTTTGTAGTACCCTTTATCAGGTTGGAAATTTGCTTTTTATTTCCATGCCTTGTAAGTTTCTTGCCCTTAAGAAGAGAGCTCCCTTTTGTCGTGGAACACACGTTATTTCCTTAATCATGCTGCTGTTTTCTTAGATCGCTCACTTGCCTGTTAGTGAGAGCAGGCTAGAAGGGCTTCCCAGGATTGTTTACAGCCCTGTAGGATTTGAGACACTCATTTCTCATACGTTTCAGGAAAATATCAGTTTGAGCAAAGAGACCTATGAAAGCAAACATTTAAGTAATCCTTTTAGTCCTCCTGTGGGCTTTGGGGTTGGATTTAAAATATACCTTGTAAACAGGACACGTACCCATATTTGTCTAAGGCTGTTCATCATGGTGTTATCTGTGGTAACAAAGACTTAAAGCAAAATCTAAAAGTCTAATAACGGCATTAAATTACAATACATCTATATGGTGGGATATTCTGTGATCACTAAAGGTGTGTGTTTGAAAGTTACTTGAAGGTATGGGATAAAACTCATGATGTAAAATTACAAATGTATCTATATACAGTAAAGTCCCAATTAACTTTTTGTTTTTTAAAGGCACACTTGTAGATGTTGATGCCTGTACGTATACACGTTTGTATGTGCGTTCACACAGGAGATGGGGGTGGAAAGCTTGAGGGTCCACCCTTGTCTACAGCTCTGATCTGTCTGTCCTAGGAAGTCCCGTGCAGCCAGTGAAAGAACGGCCGGGGAGCACCTCCTGTAAAGGTGGGGAGAGGTGCACACAGAGGAGGGTTTTGGAGCGAGGATCTAGGCAGCCGGCGAGGGGATGCTTGGGGACGGGCAGCAGAACGGTGAGGTGCATGGTTCCATGTGCATTAGGAGTGCAAGCCTTCTAAATATTAACTAAGAACATTTTATTAATGTGAAATCAAATGTATATTTTTTATGGGAAATCCTGCATTACAGGTTAATAAGGAAATAGATACCCCAACACGCGCCTTCACCTGTCCTTCCAGCACCCCGCGTGCATGCATGGACACGTGGACGTTGACAGGGCCTTGCCTCTGGAACCGCAGCCTCTGCACTCAGTCCAGCTGTGGATAGGGTGCGGCGTCCCTCGCCAGACCCCGGGGCTACAGTGATGAGCAAGTCACAATCGTCCTCTCTTCCCAGGTGGTCTGTTGGTGGCTGTTGAGGTGTCCAGTGCGGC